TTCCTGGTCCCATCCACTGAATACCAGTCATGTCCTGAATCAATGGGAAAACCCAAATGTTCCTCAACATTTCCAGTTCTCCCCCTGGGGGCAATATCACTTTCTGTTAAGAACTAGTGAAGAGCATGCAATGTTAAGGGTAGGGTGAAACTAAAAGTTTGAATAATGAACAAAAATATGTAGTAAGTTATGAAGCTACTGAAAGTTTTCGCACAGAAAAGTGCTATAAGCAGACCTGTGTTTTGGGATATTTAATCTGCCATGTATAAGCTATATGGGAGGGCAAGAGAGATAAAAGAGCTAGGAGATCAGTTAGGTGGAATTCAAGACCAGAAATTTAGTGTAGTAAGAATAGAAAGGAAAAATAGTTCCAACCCTGGATCTCATTGTCACAGCTGATTAATAACTCCCAACAGACTATTTACAAAGGCTTAACATACTCTCAATGGCTCATTCTTGTTTTTGATGTATGTTTGTAATCACCTGTGTGTAGGTCACTTAGAGAAGAACTGGAGGGGACTCTGATAGTGAATCTATATTCCAACTGTAATGGTCATTTAACTGGAAATATAAAGTTCATGATATGGCTCCAGAATAGACTTTATTAGAGGTCAGATTCCATTGTGAATAGTGTTTTATCCTGACTTCGTGTAAAAATTTAAGTTTTAGGAGTTGAAGTTTTGTTTACTATTACTGAAATAGCCTCCTAATCAGTGCCTTTGCTTCCTGCCTGATTTCTTATGGTAAATACAACTTCCTTACTTCAGTAGCAGTTTTTTTTTTCTAAAATGCAAGCATGAATGTGTTACTCCATCTAGGGCACCCACAGTTTCCAAGATAAAATCCAAACAAGGGCCTTTGTGGCTGGCCCATGCTGATTTCCCCGCCTCCATTCATGCCCTTCATGACTGTGTTTTGAATGATTAGAAGTCCCCAAAAATCACATGCTGTTTCACAACTCTGGGCCTGCACATTGGGGTTCCTGCTACCTGGAACACACTGTCATCCTTGTCCACCTGAATCACTTTTATTCATCTTTCAAGCATTAGTTGGAAGCCCTGCCTAACCTCCTGCTCTGGCTGGGCCAGATGGCCTTTCTCCACAGGTGCCATTTTACACTTACAGCTCTGTCTGTATGCCAGCTTATTGTCCCAACACAGTGCTGTCAAAAAGAACTTTCCACACTGAAGGCAAATTCTGTGTCTGCATTGTCCAAGTGCTATTGTGCACTTGAAATGTGGCTAATGTGACTGAGGAACTGAATTTGAAGTTTTATCTACTTATTATTAATTTATATTTACATTATTACATGTGGCTACAATATTGGACAGCAAAGGTCTATACTGAAGTCCTTGAAAGCATGGACCATCTCTGTTTTTTTTTAGATTCTGGCATGGTGCCTGGTATATAAGAGAACCTCAAAGAGTATTTAATGAATGGTGAATGAATGAATGAATTGGCTATTAGTGAAGTAAAGATGCTAAAAACTCCCTATGTATTAAAAGATAGTCTCCTAATCAAATAGAAAAAAATTGATTAGATAAATATACACTCCATCAATTATTCATTCAATAAATTTTTACTGAGGAGGTCCCAGGTAGAAATTCTAGTGCTGATTTTGCCAACATGTGGCTCTGTGTCCTTGAACAAGTTGCTTAACCTCTCTGGGACCTCTGTCTCTCCTGTAAATTGAGAGTTTTGTGCAGGATTTGTGGTTCTGGATTTCTTTATGAAACTCCAAATTGAATTAAAGTGTAAATCCTCTCTCTAAAAATATTTGCATTTCATTCCAGGAGGTTCATGGTTTCCCTGAAATCTATTTAGGTTAAGACTTTCTATACTAGATGAATCCTGGGGTTCCTTCCAATTCCAGTTTCATACTCTGTGCTATAACCTAGATTTGAGATTTAGATTATAACATACAAAATTGCTATTTTTATAAAATTAAAATTACTAAATATCAGCAATTTCATATAATTCATCTAATACAATGAAGGGGACTATAAAGAAATCCCAGGATTCAAATTTATCATTGTTTGAGGACAACCTGCATGTGCAAAAGGAAAATAACTAACTGGAGCAGTGTATGGTATATGTCAATTAAAGAGCACAGCCAGGGAGAACTCCAAGATTTCAGAGGCACATGGAGTCAGCATGGGGATCAGAGGAGAGCTCTGCACTGAAGATGGGAATTCAAGCAGACTTCAGAGAGGGTAGGACCCAGAGAGATAGAAGGAAAGAGGAAGTGCACTTAGGGTGAGGGTGCAAGAAGTAATGATGAGGTCAAAACTAGGGACCAAAGGTGTAACATAATCTTTCTCTTAACATGGAAGACATTTGCTCTCCCTCCATAGGTTGATCTTTGCAACTATGTCTCCGTCAATGGAGCCACAGCTCACCCCCACATTGAGAGTGATGGCACTGTGTACAACATTGGTAACTGCTTCGGGAAAAATTTTTCAATTGCCTACAATATTGTAAAGATCCCTCCTCTACAAGCAGGTCAGTTTACCAATTTGATTCCTCTGAAACAAGTATCTATATTGTATGAAAGTTACTGGAAATACTGGATGCCAGATCAAAATGTCAGAATAGCACAATATGCAGTTAAATTACTCTCTGATTTCAGGACAACTGCCCTCATCCCTACCCTACCAATGGCCAAGGGCACAATAGCAGGAAATGACAACTTGAAAATACAGAAAGCAAATGGCCAAGTTCTATTTATGCACTGTGTCAAAGATGTAGTGTATATACAGACTTGGTTACATAAGATTTGGAATCAAGTGTAGCAAACATTTATTAGGCATTTATTCATGTGCCAACTGAAATTAAATTTTTATTCAAACGTATGCATCTGCATAATAACATAAACCCATTTATGAGAATGTACTATTTTGTGTTTGTTTAACTCACAAGACTACAAACAAATCTATTGACTCATATTAATATAATAGCTAAAGAATATTAAAAGAGAAGAGAGAATATTCTTTAGAATTTTCTATTCATCTTCCATTCATGTCAGAAATTTGATAACCATCTTGATGACAGAATTCTTTGAATATATATGGATTTTTGTTTAGTATTGCTTAGATAGTTCTCAAAGTGTAATCCCACCACCAGCGGCACCTGGAAACCTTTTTGAAATATGAATCTTGAGTCTCACTCAAACCAACTAAATAATTCTGGGAGTGGGACCCCAATAACATTTTTAAGAAGTCCTTTATAGGATTTTGATATACAGTAAGGTTTTGAAGACTACTCACTTAGTAGTAAGTGAACTTTAATGTACATAATAATTACTGTGCCAGGCTATTGACACAATTCAAGATATTCTTCACTCTGTAGGCCAGTGGTTCTCAACCTGTGGGTCGAGACCCCTTTGGGGGTCGAACGACCCTTCCACAGGGGTCGCCTAAGACCATCGGAACACACATATATAATTACATGTTGTTTTGTGATTAATCACTATGCTTTAATTATGTTCAATTTGTAACAATGAAATTGGGGGTCACCACAACATGAGGAACTGTATCAAAGGGTCGCGGCATTAGGTAGGTTGAGAACCACTGCCGTAGGCAGTATTGTAAAAGGCTATGACCGTGCTACAGTTGTGGTATGTCCCCTGACTTAGAACCCACCTCCAGGTGTAAGATGTGACTGCCCTGTGCTCTGCCTGCCACACTGTGCTCTGCCTGCCACACTGTGGAAGTGCACTTTCCCCAATCCACTGCTATTTGGATTTGCCTGAGCAATTGCAGCTTCACATGAAATTTCGCTAAGAAATGCCAATGACTAAGGAAATGAACATAAGCTCTGAAAAATCAAGATCTTAAAATGTATTTCTTTACTCGCATAAGATGTTCCACGTGCTTTGTATTTTTAAAAAAGAAAAAAGAAAGGCTGGCTGTTCCAAAGCCTTTTAAAACCACTTTATTTCAGACAAGGAAGATCCAATAAGCAAGTCAGAAGTCGTTGTACAATTCCCCTGCAGCGAACGATTCAAGCCATCTTACGTCCATAGGTAACTTGAAGGGCTGCTCTGGATCTTCAGGAAAACTTAATTTTAAATATCTGCTTTGCCTATCTTTTATACCAATCCTGATTACATTATCTTGAAGAAACCTAAATTTAAACATAATTAATGTCACATAGCTACTGTCTATTCCAGTAACTGAGCACACTCATGTATACACATTTCTTTGTGGTTCAAGAATATGTCTGTCCCACTCACAAGTCCATTTGTGTTTCTGAATAGTTTTGGCTTGACTCCCAACTACATTGTTTTTGTGGAGACACCAGTCAAAATTAACCTGTTCAAGTTCCTCTCTTCATGGAGTCTTTGGGGAGCCAACTACATGGATTGTTTTGAGTCCAATGAAACCATGGGAGTAAGTCTTACATTTATTTGTCAGGTTTATGATGCTGAAGAAGGTGTGCTTCATAATGCACTCTTTTTTCCTTATTAAATGCATCAAAATATTTTTCTCATGTTCAAGGTTTGGCTCCATGTCGCTGACAAAAAAGGAAGAAAGTATCTCAATAACAAATACAGGACCTCTCCTTTTAACCTCTTCCACCACATCAATACCTATGAAGACAATGAGTTTCTGATTGTGGATCTCTGTTGCTGGAAAGGGTAAGAAAGGACAGTGGATAAATGTTACATCTCTAGTTGCTCCTGGAAATTAGGGGCCTTTTTTTTTTTAATCAAAGATGCTTCTCTCAATAGTTAACCTAAATTACATTCTAAAAAGTAAGAAGTATGCTTTAAGTTTCAAGACATCATTGAAAAAAAGCTGTAGATAGTTTAGGTAACCAGAACCAAAACTGAACATCAAAGCCATGGTTAGTGATTTAAAACGCATCAGGTCCATGCACCAGACCTGAAAAGATAAGGTTCTGTGAACTGATGCGTGAACTTAAACTCAACTTCACTTAAACTTGACAAGATTCCTTAAGGGATCTTGAACTCCGCCTATCCTGGGTTTGGGAGAAAGAGGCACGCTTTCTCCAAATTAGCCAGATCACTAAAGACAGTAGTGCCTAAAGTCACAGACAGATGGGAATTGAGAAGCAGAACAGAAAGTGTCAAGCTGATGTTATTTAAGTATATCCAGGAGGCAGGTTTCTTTTTTACTCCATCTTGTGTGGGCAGAAAAAAAAAATGGCTTTAATATACCTGGGTCACTAGCAGTATCCAGGTTGGGAAATAAAGAACAGGCAGGCTTTTAAATAGATTGAATGTCTCTCGGAAATTATTTGTAATTGTGTGTGCTCATGTTTGACTCCTTATCTTGGCAGGTTTGAATTTGTTTATAATTACTTATACTTAGCCAACTTACGTGAGAACTGGGAAGAGGTGAAGAAAAATGCCAGCAAGGCTCCCCAGCCTGAAGTTAGAAGATATGTTCTTCCTTTGAATATTGACAAGGTAACTATCCTCTACATAGATTTCAGATAGAACCAGAATATTACACAAAATCCATTCCTCTATTTGCTCCTCATCTCTCATCCCCTTCCCTATCCTGAAAATCCTCCACCATTTCCTCTTAATTCATAATATATCACCATCCTCTTCTCAAATGTTCCCTCCACCTTCTATCTTTAGAAAAATCTGATTCCCAAAAACCTTGTTATCCTCAGCAGCAATTTCCAGGGGAGGTAGTTTCTCCTACAACCCTTGCACCATGGGGTCTGAAATTGGGGTAAGGGGTCCCCTTTGTTCCACTTTGTTGCTTTCAAACCATTGTTTCTTCCATCTACCCTTAAAATTTCCCAATTTTCTAAAAAACACGTTTTTATTGATTTCAGAGAGGAAGAAATAGGGGGAGAGATATAGAAACTATCAATAATGAGAGGGAATAATTGATCATCTACCTCCTGCATGCCCCCTACCAGGGAATCAAACTGGGACCTCTGGTTCATTGGTCCATGCTCAACCTCTGAGCCACACTGGCCAGGCTAAAATATCCTCTTTTTAAATTTCATTTTAGCTCATTATGTGGCCAAGTGGTATGTGTGTTGTGTATATATATGTATTTCTCATTATTGTTGTCATCTACTAACCACTACTCTCTCTCCCTTCTGATTTAGTGTCACACTTCCCTTTGTAGGTCTCCCTTTGTAGATCTACAGATCTACTCCTGACTCTCAGGAATTTCAAGATACACATCAGAAGTGATTCCTCCAACAATTTAGCCTTTCAGTTCCTTGACCTCGTCCACAGATCCTGTCTTCTATTCTGTCTCAGCCACTCGTTCTTATGGCTTTGACATTGGCATTACCTATGACTTCTGTGTGCTTCATCCATAATCTTAAATTCATGCGTGACACATTCTGACTACCACCTCTTTCAAAATCACCTGCTCTTCTGCAATTCTCACCAGGAACCTTCAATCTCCTACCTTCTTATAATCCTTAACTCCTTTGAGGACTTATGCTAAGTGAAGTAAGCCAGTCAGAAAAAGACAAGTATTCTCATTCAATTAAAATTCCATGGTCAATAATTATAAGCATCCTCTTGTACAGATCATTATTTCTTGTGTCTCTTTCTCATTTTATCAAACTCATTTGTCAGAACCACAACCCTAGTTAACGTGTTAAATTAAGCACCCCACCCACTCCATGCTTATGCCTCTGAGGCTGAAATTAAGTGTTGAAAACACACAATCGTGTTAATTGGTTCGTTTTTAGATACATGACCACAAATCTTACCACAACATTTCCCAACTTCATTTACTCTCCCACTTTCTTAGTTAAATATTTCACACCCTCCGCACTTCAAACTTCTAACACCTCCCACCTTCACACTCATACTCAGCTGATGGCTCTGCTTCCTGTTTCACTGAAATGAGTGAAGGAAATCAGAAAAGAACGTAAACTTCTGCCACCACATCTAACCACCCACCAGCATCTGTACTCATACTGAAGTTATCCATCATCTTATCCAGAACTAGTTGTTCCCATCCTCCCTCACCCACTCAAGGACATCACTCCCCCTCTTTCCTATAGCATCACTCTTCTCCCCTCTTCATTGGATCACTCTATCATGCTATTATTTTTCCCTCTTACAAAATCTTTCTCTTGACTTCTCTTGCCCCCACCAGCTATTCCCTCATTTCTCTTCTTGTAGACCTCTTAATGTTGGAGGGCATCAGAACTCAGCCTTTTGTTCTACCTTTTATTTGTACTTTCACTCCCTTTGTAAAGACCCATGCTTTAAAGCAGCCCCAAATTATTTTTTTAACTTTCCTTTCAACTCACATATGCTACTGCCAATTCCATGTTTCCATTTGAATGTCCAATAGACATAACAAACTTAACAGGATAAAACCTACATTTCTCCTCTTCCCCACCAAAAAATTCACCCCACCTTCAGAAGCCCAATCCCTTTTGTGACAACCGTTAATTGTTCAGGCCAAATATGCCAGAGTCATGCTTGACTCCTCTATTAATTTCATGCCTCTTCCACCCCATATCCTATATATTAGGAGATCCTCTCGGCCCAACCTTCCATTTCTCACTGACTCCAGTGTTACTAGTCTAGCTTGAACCATTGTTTTCTTTTGACCAGACTACTACAAAACAAGCTGATTTCCCTGAGTCCACTCTTGCAGCCCCCCTCCTCCCAAGTCTCAACAGAACAGCCAGAGCACTGCTAACTTCCTCACCTCCTACCAGTTTTGTCTCAAATGTCACCTTTTCAATGAGGCCCACCCTGACTGCCTATTAAAATTACAACTCACCTGCCTTTCCCACTTCTGATTCCCCTTACTCTGCTCTATTTTTTCTCCCCATATTTATGACATATTATACACTTGTCTATTAATTATATTTATTGTCTCTGTCCCCAAACTGGAATGTAAGCTTCATGAGGACAGGGACTTAATTTTCTGAAATATCCCGAATGCCTAGAATAGAGCCTAGCACAATACATGTACTCAAGTATTTGATACAGATATTACTAAATGAATATATTCTTAGAAAGGGCTTGTGGTATCCATTCCTTTCATAAATATCATATGCATTGGGGATTGGGGAATGAAAAAATATCTTAGAAAACATCTGGTCTAGTAGTTTTCCTATTTTCTTCTTTTTAACAAAATCAAAATATGCCCTAACTATAAATGAGATGAACACTGTAAATGGATCCCTAAGAGGTGACATCTTTGTTGTTCTGCAGAGAAATACTTGCTTATTTTTTTTCCAGAGACCCCTCCTCAGAGGCCTTTTTATTTGAGAACAGTCTCATTTCACAGTTGAGAAGATTGAAGACCTAAGAGGTCATGTGACTTCCCCATTGACACAGGCCCAGACAGCTTTCTCAGTCATGTTCCTCGGCTCTGCTTCCAGAGTTTCTGCACTGTTCCTCCCTACATGTTAACTTAAGTAAAGAGCTCAGGAGACAAAACTCAGGAAGACTCCTTCCTTGATTTATGGCTCCTTGGTTTTTCTTTCTTTGCTTGCTGAGATTTCTGTTATCCTCTCTCTTAGGCTGACACAGGCAAGAATTTAGTCACACTCCCCAACACCACTGCCACTGCAATTCTGTGCAGTGATGAGACCATCTGGCTGGAACCTGAGGTTCTCTTTGCAGGGCCTCGTCAAGGTGAGATAATGTAGAAGAAAACCTCACATGAGAGGGAACGAATGTTCCATTCAAAGAGATTAACTGGGTTTTCTTAAGCCTGTGCTCTATTTTGTAGCGTTTGAGTTTCCTCAAATCAACTACCAGAAGTACGGAGGGAAACCTTATACTTACACATATGGACTTGGCTTGAACCACTTTGTTCCAGACAGGGTAATGAATCCACCTTACTGGTATTAGAGGAGTACTTTAAGTCACATGCTAGTCAAGTAAAGCATACTGACCGACTGATTGATTTTTTTCTTTCTTAACGAACAGCTTTGTAAATTGAATGTCAAAACTAAAGAAACTTGGGTATGGCAAGAGCCTGATTCCTATCCATCAGAACCCATCTTTGTTTCTCACCCAGAGGCCTTGGAGGAAGATGATGGTAATGAAACAATTGGATGTGTCTGAACATTCTCTTCTTACTGGAGTTCATGTAGTTAGTTCACTAGGAGGGGAATCGTAGTAATTTTTCCCTAATGTTCAGAAATGATCCTTAATACTACTGAATGTAAACTTCTTTGAAAATAAGTGTAATCTTGTGGTCAGTTTGCCTTGATTACTATTGGAAAAAATGCTAAGGCACCGTCTGCTGTCATGATGGACACCAATACTGTTCTAGATGAGGGAGTGGGGGAGAGGAGGGGAGGAAAGAGCAGCATGAATTCCAGGCTTTTGCCTTTCTTCACCTACATACATTTATAGGGGGAAAAGTTCTGAGAAAGGAAATTGAGTATTCTAACAGATCAAAGAGAATGAGACTGTGGCTTTGTGGTTCTAGTTTTGTTTATTTCCTTTAGTAAGCTGGGGCTAGAAAGAGACCAGATATACAGCCTATAAAACAGCAACTCAACTACAAACATCAGTCTTAGTTAACTATTAGTTAGCTGGGATGAAATTATGGAAAGCCACAGAGAAATGAAAAAATAAAGAACTGTGGAGCCATGTCACTTGAAATGAGTTTATACATACAGTCCATCTAGTCAAAACTGCAAACGGTTTGCTCTCCTTGTGTTTGAAGGAGATAAGTTTCCAGCTAGGTCTTGGAAATTATAGAAATAATATAATTACTATTGTCAAAGTCCTTCAGTACACATTTTTTTGTTACAACACTTTTTTTGCAGTAGGTAGAACAGACGGTATATCTTATGTTACAGATACGAGTACAGATCAATTCATTCAATAAAAATTTAATGAACACTTCCTATGTTCTAATCATTGTAGCAGGCTATCAGGATATGACAGTAGGCAAGACAGATATGGTTACTCCCTTTCTAGAGTTTATAAATCTAGGAAACATGAAGAGTTTAAAAGACCCCTCCAGGGTGGCCACATAGTGAGGTGGTGGAAGAGTCAAAACAAAATATTGTCATTTTCTTTTTTAAATATGTTTTTACTGACTTCAGAGAGAGAGGAAGGGAGAGAGAGAAAGGGATAGAAACATCAATGATGAGAGAGAATCATTGATTGGCTGCCTCCTCCACACATGTGCCCTGACTGGGAATTGAACCATGACCTCCTGGTTCATAGGTTGGTGTTCAACCACTGACCCACACCAGTCAGTGTGCCGAGCCAGCTCAGCCAAGGGTTCGAAAGCCTGAGTGAGGGCGGTGAAGGGATGAAGAAATGACAAAGAATAAGCTGGGTCTAGGTGGATCTTCCTGTACCTGGCTGAGGCCACAGAGAGAGATGCAGAGGCAACCTGAGCCTTTATTTTATAGCCAGAGGTAAACAAGGTAGTGGTCACAATGTTCTTGTGAGTTTCACTTGTTTTGGCAGCACTTGCTGCATCTCCCTCAGCCCATTAGCTACCCAGATAAGATCTAGGGAGCGTCATAAGATCATGCCTAATTATGCTAAGAGGACTGTGCCTCCTAAGCTGGGACTTATTTGTGGCTTTGCGGACAGGTCAGTCCAAGGCTTAACCCTATAACCGCACCCTACAGGCCAGGCTGTCATTTTCTTTTTATATGTCAATGTAATACCTCCTATATTATTTCAGTTACATTTAATCTATGTCCCTGGGCATTTTTTACAAATTCAACATTACTTTATTTACTTCTGATTAACAGGTGTAGTTCTAAGTGTGGTGGTGAGCCCTGGAACAGGACAAAAGCCTGCTTATCTCCTGATTCTGAATGCCAAGGACTTGAGTGAAGTTGCCAGGGCTGAAGTGGAGATTAACATCCCTGTCACCTTTCATGGACTGTTCAAAAAATCCTGAACACATTCTACCAAGATATGTTTCTGATGATAAAACCAAGAAAAATATAGTCAGGTCTGCAATCAAATCCTGTTCAGTTTCAGCCTGCTGTTTTATATGGTTTTAACTTGCAGACACACACTATTTTGCAATGTTTTCCAGAAAGAACAGAGTTGAACAAGCAATTACTTCTAAAATCAAGTCTATATTTAGAAAATAAGACTTTCTATGTGAGACAGATCATAACTAAAAATCTCTTTATATAGTTAGCAATCAAATATAAAATGAATGTGGATTTATTAACCTGTTTTTTATTCCTATTATAAAAGCGTATTTTAGGCATCTATCTGCTCCAATATATTTTAACATTTAAAAGCCAAAGTGTTCTACACCTGATTGCAGCTCTGCTGAGTCAAGGTGGTATTGTGCAAAAGGCTTCATTATTAAATGGCAAACCAAACTCTTTTTCAAACCAGGGACAATCATTTAAGAGTAATCATTGTAATTGCATATATGTTATTGCTAAAAGATTTTCAAGCTTTATGAACTTTTACATTTCTGCTTAATATAGGCAATTACTACTATTTCTGTTTTGTTTTTTTAATGAGGAAACCTATCTTTAATCAACAGAGGGCATGCCACCAAATAATATGTTAGAGATTATCTATTAAAAGCTTACATAACAACAAAAAATCATAAATAGTATTGATTGTACTAGTAATTTTTTGAAAAACAAAACATAAAATACAATTTCTACTTAAAATCGAAGTGTGGGATACTGTTGGAGGGTCATATAATTTGTTGTCTCTTCTCCTTAATTATATTTAAGCACTTTGCAATCACCTGACTGAAGAGAAAGAGAGAGAAAATATTAAATGATTAGCATTCAGATAGTAATATATTTTAAGCACTTTTGTTGTTGCTTTTATTATTATTCTCCTCTGTGCTGCATATTGAAAAAAGGAGATTGGCAAAAGGTTTTATTCTATATCTTTATTAAGGTGTCTATTTGTGCTCAGAAGTATTACATATCATTGTATTAAGATGATCAGCATTGTGTTTGACTAAGTAAAAATAGTTTGAAGAAACAGACTGACCATAGTACTTGATGCATCCATTTGATTTCTTTGATTATATAAAATATAACAAACTCATGTTTCAAATTATAAATACTCATTTACTTTTCAAAGATAATCTAAAACTACAGAAAAGTGGAAATTATAAAGTAAAGTCATACAGAACTCATCTAAGTTCAACTACTATTAAGATATGAATATTTGTCTTTTCCATCATTCCTTCCCCACCTGCCCCGTGGATTTTAATGTAATCATTATTTATTTGTGGATAATTCCTAAATAGAACTAGAAATCTCAAGATAGAGAAACAACAATGCTGAGAATAACATGGAATATGTGACTGTACATAAACATTAGTCCATGTTTTTTATCTCTAGGCATGGAACGTGAACATAATTCCATAAAGAAAGCTAGTTATCTATTTCTTTTAAAAATGCAGAAAACTATTATATGAAGTACTATAAAAAAATAAAAAAAATAAAAATAAAAATGCAGAAAATTACTGAACAAGTATTAAGTTTTAGACTTAGTAAAGAGTCCAAATTTAAGAGAATTCCCCAAATATCTACTTCCTACCCTTGCCAATCCCTCATTGCCTACTTTCCATTTATTTTCCATGAGTAAGTCTTGTCATTTGTTGTGCCTCACCTCCTGTTGCAGGATCCCATTCTGAGCATTGAGCTCTGTAGATCAATATGGTGTTAAGAAGAGAGAGAGGCAGATCTTACTAAAATAACATTCTACCAATACCATTATACCAAGATTGGCACACTCTGTACAATCATTGCTAAGATTATACCAAGAAGGCTTAAGAGCTGCTTTTCAAGTTCAAGAATGGAATGTGAGATTAAGAAACTTAAATTAAAACCAGGGAGATTTGAGTCAGGCAAGAAGGAGTAACTCATTTTGAAAAAAATTCTTATTGAAAAAATTAAGGAACCTGTTTTCTAAGAACTAGAGCTACTCAATTGGGGAATCTACAAAACTGTGCACCATCTATAAACAAATAAATCTGTTTTAAGAAAATAATTCAATTGTATTAAAACAAATACAACTCTTAATAAGTACTTATTTTTAAAATAAGTTGATTGGCCCAGCGAGTGTGGCTCAATGGTTGAGCATCTCATAAAATTCAGTCTCATTGGAAAAACAATCTCTAAAACACAGGAAGAAAGAAAACTCACATTTATTGAGTGTCCTTTACTTTTACAGAAAAGTGGAAATTACATCTAATATTACACCTGTCATGATACTGTTTGCACCATTTTAAAGATGAGGAAAGGGAGACCACATTACTTTTCTAGTGAGTAGTAAAACTCAAACTGAAATCCTGAAATCTAAACCTAATAGTTCCTCCACTTAAATTTTGGTTTCTGATAACTTCTGAAATATTCTGAATAATTTAAACTTTTATTTCAAATACAACCACTGTCATGCAACTTAGTCATCAAGTCTGAGTGCAAATAAAATTTTCAACTACTCAGTAACTCTTACTGTTAATTAGTAGGCCAAAATGTTTCTTGAATAATACCATGTGCCAAATTTTTATTATGCAAGTGATTCCACTAATTAGTTCCTACAATATTCTGTGTGTAGAGTTGATTATCCTATTTTATAGGTGAGGAAAATGATAATGTTAAATGACAGCCAAGTTTACATGAGAACAGGTGTCAGATTCCAAATGCCATTTGGATCTGTTGGACACTGTGAACTACTACTTTGAGGTAGTTCACAATTTTAGCATTAAATCACTACATTCCTTTCCATGACATCTTAAAAAGCTAAGTTTTACCAGTTGTTGTGAAAATGCAAGTACCATGCAAAAATTAATGTAGAACACAAAATGATAATGACTGTGTCCAATCCGATTCCAAAGTTTAAAAAGTTCTGTAATGTCCAAAGACACTGGGCTGTTAGAACAAAGATATGTATTATGCCATTTGGATTTAACTATGTAATGAGCAGAATGTTAGGTATTTCTTTTGGAGTGCCATAAAAAAGTTACTGAGACACTAAGAGCTTTGTGAAGCAAGAACATTTGAAAACCTCTATGCAAAACTGGGTTTTAACTCAGTAAGCAAAGCTCTAACCTCATAGGACCTAGTCTAGAGTTTTGTGATTTAATAACATCATAAGTGTATCTTTAGAGAGCAAATAATTATATTTCAATTCTTACATTAAAGTTACATGAAAGAGCTTCACTTAAGAAAAAGAAAAAAGATGAAGGAATCATATCGAATATATCGGTGATTAGTCTGTTTATGAATATTTCTTATTTGAATATATTCATAATATTATACTAGTTGAATAATAAAATATATTTAAGAGGCTAGCAACACAAATCTCAAAATTCACTGTTTCTCAAGTTCCTTTAACATGGATTTAGCCATAGACATATCTCCTTCCAGAAGGTAAGCAAATGGGTAGTTTTCATTTATAAGAGCAACCTTTTCCGTTGGGCCATAGCAATAAAAATCCAATCTCTGATTGATGGGGGCAACTGAAAAATTCAGCAATGGTAGGCTGACTCAGTGATCAGCAAGTGGGGCTGTGCTACAAGAACAATGGGTGACCTATGACTAGGCACTTATGAAAGTCCTAGTTCTAGTCCAGGCTTGTAGAACTAAAGCTTTGGGTTACTTATCAATAGAAATCAAACAGCACAGAGAGAATGTTCATTCCTCAGGCAGTTTCTAAGTCCAAGGAGCAGAGCCGTGCTCTGTCAGCTGCCTTGCAGTTCATACTACAAAAAGTATATATTAGACCACAGATCATGATATTAATGTTCTTATAAGTCTTCATGACCTCGTTGGAAAAGGCCATTGAGGAAAGTGGCTTTTATTAATGTCTGTATCTGCTACTACCTATTGATCTTGTGTCTCCCTTCAAATTAGGCAGCAGAGTGTAAAGGAGTCAGCGTCAGAAGCCCCGTGTTCTAGCACTATTTTCCTGCTTATAAGCTGTGTAACTGGAAGTGAGCCACTCACACAAAATACTCTGCCCTGAAGTTTTCCCACGATGTTGGCAGAATTATATCTGTCCTATTAGCCCTCTGAGAACATTGTAGGGCATGTGAGACGACACAAATAAACATCTATAAACACTGTGGGTAACCTGAGGAGAAGGATTCAAATGTAAGGCACTGATTTAAATAATGTGATTATTAGTTTAGAGACTAATAAATGAATCAATTAGCAGTGAAGTTTAAAAATAAGAAACACAGTATACAAACTAAAGGCAAATACCGAAGAAGAAGAAGAAGAAGAAGAAGAAGAAGAAGAAGAAGAAGAAGAAGAAGAAGAAGAAGAAGAAGAAAGGATCCTTAGAAAGAAGAAGAAGAAGAAGAAGAAGAAGAAGAAGAAGAAGAAGAAGAAGAAGAAGAAGAAAAGTGACGCTTACTCCTTAAAAGCAGCTTTTTGTCATCCACACAGGTTGCTTGGGAAACCACTACAAATGAATTCAAATCTTTTGACGGCCAAATCTGCTCACAACCAACCCATACACACACACACACACACACACACACACACCCCTCACATTGTTTCCCTAACACAAACTCATTTCACAAAATGTTCCTAGGTGTGGTCCCAAAAGGGGTTTTGAATGGGAAATTAAAAGGTTGAGGGGCCTGTTGGAAAAAGAAAGAACAAATAGGACCATAGAAAGATATAAAGTTTACCCTCTTTGCTATAGTCAAAAAGAAAGGTTTATTTAATTGCAGGAACAGTGGCCATGAGGAAACACAAATTCCTACAACATGACCAACAATAAAAATTCATTGTGCACCCTTAGAACAAACAGTCCTCCACGGAAGTATTTGTTTAGAAGCCATCATGAAAATGGAAGCTCTCCAATATACCCAGATCACTCGCCAACTGAAAAGAGCTTTTGTTCCATCAACTCTTCCAGTCAGCTAATATTTATTGAGCAACTACTGTGTTCCACGTACTGTCTGGACCAGTAGAACCTTCTGTGATGATGGAATGTTCTACACTGTATTGTCCAATACTGTAAGTACTACCCACACGGGCCTATTAAGTGCTTTAAGTGTGGCTAGCGTGACTGAGGAACTGGGTTTTTCATTGGCTCTTTTATAAGCAAGGCAACCCAGTCTCAACGCACGTATTACCTGCTTTCACCAGTATCTCCTCTCCCTACCCCCACCCTTTCTTCTCAAGGATCAACGCACAGCCCCAACACCACTCTCTTTGCTGGAGACTTAATCCTGATTTTTCTGAGTTGTCCATGTGGATGGCCAGCTTGCTCTAACTAGCTGAGAAAATTCGCCCTTTATCCCTCCAAGCTGGGTCTGCCTGCCCCTCTCCCCCCTATACACAAATACATATATAATTTCTATATTCTCGTCACTCTAAGACTATCTTGTCTCATTATCTACCAAACTGAATATTTGCAATATGTTGCTGAACATACTCTGGAGTAATTTATAATATATCTAGACAGGTAAGGCATAAATCTCCAGGAACTAGCAGATCAGATTTCCTTACAAAATACATCCTAAGATGAGGAAAAGGAGAAGCATACAAAACTAAGAAAGGATAATATAGAAGATGTTAAAGATGGGCAAAGAGAAAAATAAAAAGGGACTCCTCATGCAGGTCTTTCTTAATCTCTTTAAGGGTACAGAACAGATAGCAATAATATAAATATTAACAGCTAACACTTATCGAGCACTTATCATGTGCCAGGCTCTATTCTGAGTACATGTATTATATCATCTAATCCTTCCCCAATACCTATTTCATAAATGAGAAACCTGAGGCCCAAAGAGATTATGTGACTTGCCTAAGGTCTCACTTATTGTTAGAACTGGAGCTAGGATTTGAACCAAGGCAGTATGGCTCCAGAGTCTTTACTCTCAACCATCAGCCATACTGCTTCTCAGTATTAAGCTGCTGCTACCACTCTACTAATTCTACTGATAATTTATTCTACTAGTACTATTACATCATCCTGGTTAAGAAGATAGTCTCTGAGGGCAGATTGTCCATGTGTATAGTCCAGTATCACCACTTACTAGTACTGATCAGCTGGGTTTCTTAACTATTCTGTAAAATGAG